GAAGGATTCAATGGTAATCATCAAAATATGATTGATCTTTAATTGGACTATAATTAACGCATATTTTTTGATCAGTGCCATCATCAAAATGATGCCACGGATGATATCTGTTCGAGTTTGGAACAATTTGCACTTGCTCTATGCTTTTCTTCATCTGTAAAAACGATTTACTAATGCGATCGCTTTTTATTTTGTTTTGTTTTATAGTGTAAAATCTATTTTTCCAATCATCAAATATAATCGTTGTAAAGAAAATAGATTTCATCATAGATCCTAATGAATTTCGATCTATCTCTTGATCATTTTCAATAAATAAAAATACATTGTCTCAAATGATTTACCAATTTATTTTCGATTCACGATTGCTACTCAAACTTTTAAGCAAATGATAGCATCCTAGAGAAATTTCGACCATACTTTATTGGTGAACTCGGGGATGAAGATATGATCTGCACATCATACTCATAGAACGTTTCTACGGTATATCAAATAACTGAAATATGTTGGAAAGTTTATATTGATCAATTCGATATGAATGATGATTATCACAAACACCTTGTTGGCGATTGAGAAAAACAAAGAGAACCTACCTATTATTAACTAGTAAATGATTCTTATTAACAGTAAAAGATGTGAACAACAAGAACTAAAATAGTTCATAAGATTGATATTAGATGGATTAAATGTTTCATGATAAAAATAAACAAATTCACTTAAATGAAATTCGAACTCTACCGAACACCAGCTATTTGAATTGAAATGGGTTGAGCCTTCTGTGTTCGCCACTTGACAACGGATTGATAATTCAATTTTCGAATTAAGGTAAGTTAGTTAGATACCAAACAATCAAATCAATTGGATTCATGTGGATCATATTTTTGCATGAGGAATACGATTGATTCGTGCTTTTATTTGAAACTAAATCGAATACATATCGAATCTGTGCCACTATTTGTTGATTATCTCGTTTAAATCGAAGAAAAAGCAAAAATACAATTGGCTCGATTCTTGATAAAGCTAAACGAAAAATTTTCATACTAACTTCATTTTCTTGGAAAGAATTTTTTTTCTTATATTTTACTATGGGTTTAAGATTCGTTTTCATTTGTTAATAATCAAGAATGATGTTTTATTCAATTTATTATTTTAATAAAGAATTTTCAATGAAGTCTATCATTTGATACCATTAGCGCCAAAATCAATAATACGATAAATAAAATTTGATCGAATGTTATAAGATGATAGAGTTTATTAAATTATTACCAATTGACTGATTATTTTAGTAAGAATATATTATTAAGAGATCAAGGAAAGATTAGAAATAGAATTAACTCAATCAGCATTTATTAAAATATAATAAACAAGAATGAAAAGCAATTGTACGAGTAAATTTGTTTTAGTATATTTTTAAGAGTAAATTTTAGTTAAATTAAAAATAGAAAAAACAAACAGATTAAATTGCTTTTTGTTTTTGTTTAATTTAGTCTGGTATAACTGTTTATAGGTGATGTGTAACGTATTAATAAATGATCGATTGTCGATTAATTTTTCTATGAATACTAGTTAAACAATTAATCTTAATAGTAATTGTGAATATTCATTTGAATAAAGGATGTTCCAGAAGTTCTGAAGTACTTTTCAAATGGATCTTTCTTGCATTTAACACAAGCAAAATCTTTCAAACTGTGGCAGATTAGTATGCGTGCTTATGCTTAGTACTAAATAACTAGGAACTTTCAGGTCTACAGATTGTACTATGGATGAGAACCAGTAACAACACTATCATGCACTATTTTTTCAATTTTCCTGTATTCTGGGTGTACCAAAATTTCCATATCTCGACTTAGATATATATCATAAAATCTTAATTTTTTGTGTAAAAGATGTGCCATAAAAGCTCTACAAACATTGTAATAACAAATCCCTATTGACTTATGTTAATGGCTTCGGTCGCTCGCAAAATGAGAAACCAATATGATAGACCGATTTCTCACCGCATTAAGCGCAATGAAAAAAAAATGTCTGGAAGACCTTTTAGTTTTGCATGTATCTCAACTTGAGAAAATGATAAAATCTTGATTTGTTTTTCAAAAGATGCGCAGACGTGGACAACAGCAAAATCGTCGAAATTCAAATTATAATCGATTTGCTGAGGGTGGGTGTGGGGTGTGGATGAAAGGAAGAAGTACACTCCACGCACATGCAACACCGACACCACCCATCCACACCCACACCCAACTTTGAATCAAGTAACTTGTTTGTGATTCTACTCAGAATCATGGAACAGCTACAAAGATGAAGCCATCTGATGAGTTCCTTAAGCAAGGACGAAACCGGTCATGGCTGCTAAATTAAAACACACCCTCACACCTGTTTCGCCCTTGGAAATGTGAGTTTTTTTGCAATCGCATTATCTTCAGAAGAAAACATCCTTTTGCGCTGAAACTTCTAGGATGTTCTAAGGACCACGAGGTCTACATATGATAAAAATTTCAGCTCGAAATGCCGTCATTTAGTCGAGGATATTGTTGGTGGATTTGGGATTTTTTCGGATTTTTCATGGATTGGCATTTATTGGCAATCCCGAAAATCCGCAGTTTCCCCCTTGGCTATTGGTCTATTGAAATCGACAAATCAAAACCAATAGAGTGACCTTCATAAAAAAATAATTTCAGACATAGAATCATGTTTAGAATACAGTCCTAATTAATTTTTTTTTCTATTTAAAAGATATTTAGATTGGCATTAATATGAGCGAAAGGAAAAATAGCGAAAGAGAAGACATTGTTTGTGGCGACATTTTTGCGAAAACAGTCGCCACAAGCAACGTCTTCTCTTTCGCTATTGTTTCGTTCGCTATTTTTTCTTTCGCTCTTTTTGATACATACCGATATTTAGCAAAAGAGTTGAACTTTTATTTTATATTTAAATGGATTGAGTGACAAAATTAATCATAATCATGCTCATGCACAATACTCTTCCTTACTCATTCACTAGACAAGAAAAATGACATATAACGAAAAATAACGTACATAGTTAATTGTAAATTTTCTTTTCAGATTTATAACGATGAAAAATTCTTTTCTAATCTATTTATTGTTCTTTTATTTGGTGAATTATTCATCATCTACTCTTGTTAACTCAATAGAAAAATTATCATGGTCATCTAGTGGAGCATTTCAAATTGTCGATCGTTTTCTAACCAGTGATACACAAGTAACATTAAAACTTCTTTGTGCTGAATCATCTGTAAATTTAAATGAAATTCAAGAACAAATAAGAAAACCCTTATACAATAACTATGGAAAAACTAAAATTCAAATAACGGGTCGTATTGGTCGTGTTGTCGGATGCTTACCATTACAATCTGATGCATTTATGACTACAAATCAATCATCATCAAAAGACAATAAAGTTTCCCGAACTATATCCGAAGCGTTTTATAAAAATTTATGGAAGCAAATGGAGGTCAGAGAGTTTACAATGCAACAAACTAATTGTGATTATCCAGGAGAATTATATTTTGATGAGTATAAAAATATGACGGGACCAGAAGCAGCTGCAGATATAAGAAAAAATATTCTCAAACAAGAACGTGAACAAATAAGTCCAAATCAAAGTAAAATTGAATATTTCTTTTTAAGTAAATTTTAAATTGAATATATTAGATAGTTACATACCTCCTCGTCGTCGTCGTCGTCGTCGTGGTGCTGAAGAAACGAATATAAAATTAAATACTAAACAATCATCATCAGCAGCTGCTCTAAGTCAACCATCAGAAAAAAGGTTACGAACATGGACTGATGGTTATTATTTAATCGAAATTTTTCCACCAGTTTTTCTTGAATCAAATAGCCCTGAACTTGGTGTTAATGTCATGGTATCCATGAAGAATCGTCATGGTGGTTATATAACAGCGGATGAATATCCCGCATTAATTTTTTATGGTGTTATGTGTGGCATCTATGCTTTATTTGCTATTTTATGGCTTATCTGGTGTGCATTATATTGGTGTGAATTGCTTAAAATACAATTCTGGATCGGTGGTGTTATTTTGATTGGTATGATTGAAAAATCAGCATATTTAGCTGAATATGAAATAGTTAATCGATATGGGTAAATAATGAAAAAAACGAATGAACTGAATTATTTTTAAATAGAAGATTTAAAAAATTTTAAATTTAGGTATAAAGCTCATGTTGCTGTTGTTACATCGGAAGTTCTTTCATGCTTAAAACGTACGGTAGCACGTATGCTCTTCGTTATTATCGCACACGGATACGGTATAGTCAAACTGCGATTAGGGCCATTAAAACAAAAGGTACTTGCTATGGGTCTTCTTTATTTTCTAATCGCTGCAACAGAAGCAATACTTCGTTTGAATACTAAAAATGATGAAGAAAACAATAGAGTATTAATATCACGTATACCATTGGCTGTTATTAATGTAGCTATTTATTATTGGATATTCACAGGCTTAGTTGCAACAACGCGAACATTACGTTCAACGAAAAATATTGCTACACTAAATGATTATAGAGATTTTACCAGTACACTAATATTTGCTATTATAGCAAGTTTATTTTTTATGGCTTGGTCATTGAAATCTCATTTTTTTACAACATGCATTACAAATTGGAGAGAATTTTGGGTAACAATTTTCCTTTTTTGCCAACTTTCATTTTTATTAAATCAAATAATTCTACCTAGATTGATGATGCATTTTGGCACATAATATTTTCACTAGTGCTTCTTCACAGCATGTTTCTATTTCGACCATCAAATAACAATTCACGTTATGCTTTTGTACCTTTCCCTCATCAATCAAATAACGACGATGATGCGTTTGATGATGACGAAGGTAAAGGAGGTAAGTTAAATGCCCCCCCCCCGGAATAGAAAGCATTCCCGGATTAATAAGGCCTCCCTGATTAGAAGGCCCCTCTAAAAATTTTGAATGATCGCCTTAATATAAGGCCCCGGGCTTTATAATGTGTCCATGTTTTTTACTAAGAAATTTTTTTTAATGCATGTATGTATGCGATCTGCCACCCTCGCACTATCTGTTTTCCCTGTTGAAAAAAAGTGGGAGCAAAAAAAAGAGTCATTTTCTCAGAAAAATGGAGGAAAATTCTTTGAAAAACCGGATTTTCTCATGAAATTTTTAAAGTTTTCGCAGAATAATTATTATATTTATGTTTGTATTTTCATTTTCATCTCTTGTCTATTTGAAATTGTGATTTGAGCGAAAAGGATTGAAAATAAATATTTATCTAAACCTTTCTACCAACATACATTCTATATTTCAAATAGAAGCCCCCTTTGAAATTTGATCTGCTTTGCCATTATAGAAGGCCAGGTGCCTTTTATTCCGGGTGGGTGGGGGGGAGGGGAGCGGGGGTAGTATCAATAGCATATTAGTACTGAAATCTATCATATTTAAACCGAAGTTCTTCATTGTATACTAATATCGAAAAGTATAGATCATATGATTTTACCATTTATGTTTTTCTTTGCCTAGAAACGGCTGTATTTGATTCAAAAACAATGCGTAAAGCAACAAATATTGAAAATGGTACAGCATCAAAAAGTAAAAGGCAACAGCAAGTATCTTTGAATCGCGAAGTAAATGTATCATCTGTTGGAGCTGGAGGTTCAAATGGTAATGGTGTTGTTGAAGATTCTTTGGCATAGGCTGAAGACAATATTCCTACGTCAATTGCTGATCAAGCGTTAGATAGTGAAGAAGAACTCGTTAATACCAAATTAGAAAGATCGAAAATGCAATAGAGTTTAAAAATACAATAATATCTACTTTCGAATACCACAGAAACTAACAATGTATAAATATTTATTTCTGTTTTCTTGTTAATTGTCTCATAAGGACTTCTCTTTATCTGGTTAACTGATTTACATTTAACTATCTTACATTCGAAGTGTTTTTGTGTGCATAGGCGTCCTGCTCACAATGGAAGTTCTTTTTTTTCGTGCGTTCGTTGTTTATTTCCTACATATAAAGAAATTTCCATACGGAGTTTCTTTCCTTTGACTTTTCCATGAACGAAAAAAAATGCCTACAATACATGCTTGAATTCTACCTTCTTTGCTTAATTCACTTCAGTTGATTGTACTTGAACATTCATTATAATCGTGAGATATTGATTGGTAAATCTTGAGGGTGTGGCTGTGGGTATTCTATGTTGTCGCCCTTCACCCAAACCCACCCCCACACCCTAAACTTTTCCTTTTGCTCCTAAATCAGCCGGGCTGCGTTGTTTTTTCAGTTATTTTCGAACTCGAATTAGACTGCTACTCAGAAACTTCGATCTGTTTTTCAATTGAAATATATGAAAGTTCGTACCACCGGTAAGCATATCAAAACAAAAAGAAAAAATTAAAATGATATTCAACAAAAATAAACAATTTTCTAAGATTAATAATTAATGCTGTTGAAATTGATCAGCAAGACCAATGAAAAATATTTCAAGGCTTTCTAATAAATCTTGATTGAGACTGGCATTACTAACAATATGTTCATTAGTATCTTTTTTTGAATCTTTTGATAATTTGCTTGCTTAGATATTAGAAACAAACGTTGTTGATCGGGTGTGGGTGTGGATCAGGTAAGAAGATGTGTAACAAGCAGCAAAGATACAGATAAGAATTACTGATCTTATAGATCATGCCACACGTATTGTGTTATAGATAAAATTTAACTGTTGAGCACAGGCTTGTCAATTACAGGGAGGAGTTAATCTTTCTGAGTAATTGAAAATCTATCAGATTTTAAAAAGTTTTGCAGTAATTTTGTGGCACATACTTGAAGAGAAATACGTGCTGTTAGCAAAGTCACTAATGACATCCGCGAATGTAGCGTGTGTCGTTCGGTTTCTCTCGAAAAATACGATGAAGCACTATCGGCGAAATTTGAAGCTTATCTTGGGATACTTTCTTTTCACAATTCAGTTGTGATATATGGAGAAGGGAATTAATAAACAAGAGACATATTCAAGTGTGATTGAATATGTATCTAGATGCAATTAACCACGTATGTTGATAGTTAATGTCTCGACGATTGTAAGAAAGAATAATATTTGTTCATATCTCTTATAGAAAGAAAATTAGATAGACTTACATGACTAATCAAAATGTGTGCTTTAAAGCACGTTAAAATCAATTGTATATAGAATGTTTTAAACCTTTTTTGAATTTTCAATGAATCTTTACTGCTGATGGATAATATAATGGTTTCGCAGGCTTCAGCAAAAAGCACTAGTTCTTCTGAAACAGAAACTGACAATTACATGCTGCAACTGCACGTGCGAAATTTGTGATAATTTAGAATCTTACAGTTTTTCTCAGTTAAAATGTGATCAAACCAGTTTAAGCACTGTATATTCTAAGGTAGTCCATCAAATTCGATCAGACCATTCATAAACAGCAAAAGAAAAGACTGCTTGAATATGTCTAGATTTTTACTCGCTTAATTTTATTGTTTTCATGACTTCACACGAAATATTTTTTGAATCTATCTTCATGTCATCTTAATTTAAAATAATGTTGTATCAAATAAGATGATTTATTTTAATGTTACTGAATTAAGTTGCGAATTTTTTACCGAAAAGACAAATACAGATTGGATGTCTTTCCTTAATCAACTTCAAATATTGTTATCGTATTTTTTAATTGTTTCTAGAGAAATTCAAACTAATGAATGTTTAATAGCAAATTACAATAAAAATATAAAGAAAAAAAAAGAGTCGAGTGGACCAATAATAGCTCATTGATTTCTCATCGGCAGCAATGACGTATGATTACTTTTTCTTTCGCTAATAAAAATGACGAACAACGCTACCGACATACAAGAATAATAATTGCAAATTCAATGAAAAAAGCCTTATTGCACTGCTTCCACCTATTTTCATATTATCGTTTTTTGTGATATACAATCATTTAAAATTTAACTAAGTAACTCCGAAGAAAGAGAACCATTAACATTTGTCATGCCACATAAATTCGCACGAATGCTTCGATTGCCTTTTGACAAATTGGGCATGCTCTTAATGAATGACCACATGCAACACACGCGATCATGTGTCCACAAGGTATACATGCTAATCGTTTTTCTTCTGTCAGACATATCACACATAGATTAGATGGTATTGACTGATTTTGATCGCCTCTAGTTTCTGCTGGATGGGTTACTGGTGCTGTTTGTCCGCGCATACGAGCCTCTAGAAAATAATACAAAAGAATCTTGGCATTCACGTACAAAAAAAGTAAAACTTACTAATTTGTTCCCGAATTTGTTTCATTTTTATGCTTGGTATCACAATATTCTCTTTTTTATTGTCGATATGTTCGATTTGTTTCTGAAGAATTAAACAAGCCATGTGCAAATCGCAGTCAGATACAAAATCATCATCTAAGAAATTACATAGATACAAGATATGAAACAATTAAGCTTTTTGATTAACTCACTTTTAAGTCGTAACTGATCTTCCCAGCATTGTTTAATTACAGATAATTTAAAATTTTGATTTAATAAGCGTTGTGAAATTGGTAACTCTAATCGATCAGCAACAAGTCTCGCTAAAGTACTTTCATCTGATATCAATAATTGTTGGCTGTTTGTTGTTGGCGGTAGTGTATTAGTATTTGGTAATTCATTAAGGCCCGTTCCATCGCGTGATTCTTTGGCTCTTGGATGTTCTAGAAAAGCAAAAAATATCAAATATTACCTAAGAATGTGTAATTTTCCAAAATTACCTTGCTGTGCTCGTTTAGATTCTTGAATTTTACGATATAATTCTTCACCGCATAATTGTCGAGCATATGCACAATGTGGAAGCCAACGAGCATGTTCAATCATTGGATTATTATTTGGACCCCAGTTTCTTAATGACCAATTGCAATAAAAACAGGTCACAATAGTTGTTTTGCCTGTATAGAAGAATCCTGCTCTAACGAAATCATTTACTGGTGGTAAATCGCCACTTGGCCATGTCGCATAGGATGCATGACGTTTTGGTATTTCGAAATAGGTCGGATTACATGACGTTCTCACCAAGATATCATTCCATTGTGATGGACCGTGGTTACTTGCTGTTTTTGAGCGAATATATGAAGTATTTGCTGTTGAATTTTCATTGACAATAATTTTCGATGAAGCTGCAGGACGCATTAATTTTGATTTAATATATATACAACCAGGTGAAAGCGTTTTATGAACTTCATATGGATCATCTGTATGGGGTGTCCATTGTTGACACATAAGATTACAATAAATGCATATGACTCGATCACCAACATTGCAATTAAAAAACCCAGCTTGTATCATTTGTGCACTTGGTGGTGATGTTCGATGTGACCAATGAGAAAATGTACGTATTCGTACCTGCTGAAGTAATTCAGTTTCGTGTAAAGTATTTAACCTTGATGGGAAGAGCATGCTTCTAATTTCTTGATGCTTGAAAGGATTGGTTTGTGGTTCTGATGTTGATGGCTTTCGAACATTAGTTGTTGATGAAATGGAAGTAGTGGATATATTTGGTGACGAGGATGTTCGTATAGAACGAACGAATGAACAATCAGGTCGATGTTGAGAATGAATAGTAAATGGATTCATATCTAACGTCCAGTTGGATACTTCGAGTTCACAATCCTCACAACGAACTGTGTCTCCATCCCCTGTATATTGAAACCCGCAGGCAGACATATAAGGTACAGTGTGAACGCCATGCTTTCTGGTCGATTGAATTTGATTTCGAATAGCAGCAAGAAGTCGAGAACTGTAGTTCTTCTTGTCGAATCCTTTTGAAGCAGAGTTCATTGTTCCATGTACTTCATTTATAGATGGATTAGGTTGCGTTTCTGATGCTGATGGGTTTCGAACATTAGTTGTTGATGAAATGGAAGTAGCGGATATATTTGGTGACGAGGATGTTCGTATAGAACGAACGAATGAACAATCAGGTCGATGTTGAGAATGAATAGTAAATGGATTCATATCTGACGTCCAGTTGGATACTTCAAGTCCACAATCGTCACAACGAACTGTGTCTCCATCACCTGTACTCTGAAAACCATCATCAGCCATAACGCATGTAGAGTGGCCACTCTGTTGGTTTATGCAATGGATTTCAGTACTGATAGCAACGAGGCTTGACAATTCGTCTTCCTTCTTATCAGATCCTTTTCAAAAAGAATAAATTGTTCTGTATTGATGAAACAGATCACTTTAGATACTACTAATAAATATTACTGGCTCCGGAATATTGCGATACTGACTTGATAAAATCTGCAATAGATATAATACAAAAATGAATTCTTCTCATTGCAATATTATGTAAGATTCTAATAATTGAAATAGCTCCATTAATTATTCGTCGAAGCTTAAGGTATAGAATAAAAGCTAAGTATAAGGCATTGAGATTTTACACAATCTCGAAATGCGAAAGAAATGTTCAGCTGGCAATTATGGAAAATTCTATATCGCATGAAAAACAAATGAGTATTCCTAATGTTGACAAGGACACTGTTTTTGCGAAAAGACATGTACGTGCTACTGGAATCAAGCTTGTTGCATCGTTGTAGACTAAAAGGACCATGTTAATACCAATGAGCTCGCTAAAGCTAAAATTATATTGAAAAATCACCCGCGTGTAATTAGATCTCTTCTAATTAATGCGCACACAGTGACATATATTTTGAATTCAAATTTTATTGTCTTAACTCTGATAATGATATATATATATATCAAAAAGTTCGTAAACAGTGGAAATGATATACTCTAGAAATTCGAACTTTCTCCTTGCGCGAAAAAGATATATAAAATCTACTCTTTATTCTAGTACAGATTTTCAGTGTCATACATGTAAACCGAAGATCCCTCAAAATAGATTTTGAATGATTTGGGAAATTCGTATTACATATGTAGCAATTGCATCGTCCTACTTTATTCCATTTTGCGCTGGATTACTACAAAAATCATTAAATAGGGTAAAAAATGCATCATCTTATAGTTTTGTATGAATGATAATGATTTCGATGAAATTAAATCGCCAGTTTTGAAAATTTAGTTTTTACAAAATCTCGAAATGTTCGACCTTGTTGTAATTCTAAACTGATGTTCAAAATGTAGTTCAAAATGAATTATATCTAACGGTCATCATCAGCAACTTTACATCATTTGAGACTTTAATTCTAAATTCATAGTAATTGCAGTATTAAAGACTTGAGCTTACAAATAATAATAACGCATTACATACATTTATACTTTATATTCGGATTTGATATCAATACTAAATATTGACACATGGTATTTGCACTTGATATTCATGTCGTCATATTAACACCATCATTACTATCAATCAGTGGCGGCGGAGCCATTGAGACAGGTGAGGCTTGAGCCTCACCTAGTTTTCAGTAGATGAGGCTCAGCCTCACCTAGATTTCACAATATGAGACTCAGCCTCATTTGCTTTTGTACTGAATATTGCTATTATCTTGTTCTTGCATCAGAGT